GACCGCCGCTCTTAAAACTTGTTTGTTTTCACTTTTTTTTGGGATATTGAAGCCTAAATCTATAAAAAAATAATTATATTTTTAGATTTGTGCAAATCATCTCTTTTGTTTCAACTGCTTTTTGCTGCGATATTAAGCTGGATTACAAGTTTTTTTGGTTTAGAATTCAATGAATTTCCATAAATCATGGTTGCTTTCAAATCCAAGTTTGGATTATGGAATCCCCAAATAATACAAACCAACTATTACTATTTTTAGAATTTGTGAAATCCTACAATTGAGAGAGGATGGTAAGGTTGGGATAGTGAGTGTATCAATGCTTATAATATAAGATATAGTATATTAAATATAAGATTTATAGATTAATTATGAATATTTAATCATAATACATCTAATTCCTCTATAATTATAAGGAGGACCAAGAAATCTCACTTGTTCATTGCCCTTTAGTAAATGGCCTGCCAGTATATTACTGTAGCATTATATATATATATAATTATAACTTTATATATAACTATAATATATATAATATATTATATTATATATTCTATATATATCTATATAATAAATAATATTAACCTATATATATATAATATAACTATATAATAAATAAATATAACTATAAAATATATGTAATATATATAACATATAAATACCTTATATCATATTATCAATAATATTATACTATATATATATTATATATATACACACCACACACACACACACACACACACACACACACACCACCACATATATATATATATATATATACTATAATATATTATACTAATATATATATTATTATATACATATATATATATATATATTATATTTTATATATTATATTCTATATATATAATATATATATATATAATATAATAAATTACTATATATATTATATATATATTAATATATATATATATATATATTAAATTATTACTGTATAACGTACTAATACACTATATACTATAATATAATATTTATATTATATATCGTCATATATATTAGTATAATAAATAATATTACGTATAGTACCTATAATATATATACTATCATACCTATAATATATCATACTATATATATAGTCAGGAGTAATATTATATATCTATATATAGTAGAGGTATAATTATATTAGCCTTAAATTTATAATTACATATATATTATATTATATTATTATAATATATAATAAATTATTATATACTCTAATATTATATCGCATAATATATCAATTATAGTATATAATATATATAATTATAATATACTAATATAATATCAATAGCTAATATATTAATAATCTTATAGTATATCATCTATAATAGATATATAATATGATATATACTGATATAATATTTAGATAATTTATATTATAATTAATATAATATTAATATATTAATAATATGTTATATATATTATATAGATAGTATTATCATACTACTACTATATCTATTAATTATTATACTATTTCTATATTATATATTATATAGCACCTGTTTCCGATGCTGTAGATAAAGGTGCTACATAAATTACTGTAGCATTACTATACATATATATGATTACAATATATTATATATTATATACTATATAACTTTTTATATATACATATAGTGTGTATATATTAGGTAAGTATATTATATAGTATATATTTAATTTATTATTAATATATATTTATTATGATCATATAATTAGTATGACTAGTATATATAGACGCAATACTCCGATTGTTCATGTGTTCTAGTAAAATTACTGTAGCATATATAGAATTATATTATATTTTATCTATATATATATATTATATTATTTATTATAATATATATATATAATGTATAATATATTATATTATATATATATTATATATATAATATATATATATATTATTTATTATATAATATAATATATTATATATATATAATGCTACAGTAATTTACTGCAGCATTTACTAAAGCATGAACAGTGATTCTTGGGTCCTCCTATAATTATAGAGGAATAGATGTATTATATTAAATATTATATTATTATAATATTATATTTAATATACTAATCTTATATTATAAGCATTAATACATCAATATCCAACCTACATCCTCTCTCAATTGTAGGATTTCACAAATTCTAAAATATAATAGTTTTTTATTATTTGGGGATTCCATATCCCAAAATTGGATTTGAAACAAACATGATTTATGGAATTCTAAAACCCAAAAAACTTGTAATCCACCTTATATCCCAAAAAGAAGTTGAAACAAAAGGAATTCTAAAACCCAAAAAACTTGTAATCCACCTTATATCCCAAAAAGAAGTTGAAACAAAAGAGATGATTTCACAAATCCTAAAAATACCTTATATCCCAAAAAGAAGTTGAAACAAAAGAGATGATTTCACAAATCCTAAAAATATATTATTTTTTATAATTTAGGGATTCAATATCCCAAAAAAAAAAGTGAAACAAACAAAGTTTAAGGAATACCAAAACTCAAAAAAGTACTTTTTACATCCCAAAACTTGAAATCCATCCTATATCCCAAAAAAAAATTGAAACAAACACCCCCCCTATTTATTTTCCTTGAACTGTTTATCTCCAAGAAAACCAGCTGTGAGCTAAGCGCTACTTCATTAATCAAAGATGACGGTGGCTTATGTAAAGCTTTGTTTCATGAAATAAAAAATTATTAAGAAAAGAACAAAATAAGAAGTAAGAAAAAGAGAAAAGTGTCTTTTCATTTTTCATAACGTCAATCCCTCATCCCACTTTGTTGCAATACTGGGTTTAATCTGTAGGTATCAAAGCCACAGTTAGATAGATATCAACATCCATACGCACATTAACAAAAATATTTTGGACAAATTTTTAAAACCACCCACTTTCAAAATTTAATCAGCAAAAATGACCGTTCGAAGAAAATATTAGCAAAATCGACCATTTTCAGATGAAAATGGTCGGTTCTGCTGTTGGGACGTTGAAAACAAAGTGTACGGGACTGCTGGTCCCGTACACTTCGTTTTCTTCTCAAGCCTCGTGACCAACCCCCACCCCCCTTCTTCCCCACCCCACTTCTTCTACAGGCGCCCATGACCGACCCCCCAAAAATGACTTCCCTTCTCCAGGGCACCCAACCAATCTAATCAAATCAGGGTACTTATCAGGGTACTTAGGCACCAAATTAACCAACAAATCATCAGGAAACCCGAAATCCCTCTTCACATTAAGCAATTTCTCCGCATTTATAACCTTATCTTCGACATCATCAGCAATTTACAAACTTTTGACAAAGTTCGTGCCTCCCACCTCGATCTGATCTCAGATTCTTCTTTCAGAAATGAATTCAAGCGATCAGAAGGGCGGAGAAAGGGGACGAGCTCGGATTTGGGCTTGATTCGATCGGGATAGGTATCGAACAGAGCTAGAGGCTAACAAGAGAGGAAAGTTTTGACCTTTACAGGGAGTTTGAGGCGCTCTCGTCGTTTCTCGAGGTATCACAATGGGATCACGCGGCCTGGCTCGTTGAGGACCTAGTGGACGACGCGAAAGATGAGGTTGTATCGCTTGTCGGATTCGATGGCGGAGTCGAGGAGAGTGTCCTTTCGCCAAGCGACCTTCAAACATGAGACTGAGGAGGTTTGGATGAAGGAGGAGAGAGATTTAGGGTGGGGGTCGATCATGGGTGCCTGTAGAAGAAGTGGGGTGGGGGTTGGTCACGAGGCTTGAGAAGAAAACGAAGTGTACGGGACTAGCAGTCCCGTACACTTTGTTTTCAACGCCCAAGTAGCAAAACCAACCCTTTCATCTGAAAATGGTGGATTTTGCTAATATTTTCTTCGAACGGTCGTTTTTGCTGATTAAATTTTGAAAGTGGGTGGTTTTAAAAATTTGTCCAAATATTTTCGAGAAAAAAAATTAAAAGCAAGGAGATAAAAACATTTCTCAGTGCCACACTGTGATATTGAGACGCTACTCCTACGAACTATGTGAAGACTTTCATTGAGATTTATAGTTATCCGGCAAGTCAACATAGAAACATTATATGACTATAGAGCATCTGTTGACAAAATCAGAATTGTTTTTTTGCAACTAAAGGTCTCCGTTATCACTGCTCTTTCTTATTGACTTCGGCATCTCCATCTTGAGATGATGAAGACTGACAATTTGAATCGGTTTCTGGCTTAGACTCACTGTATTCCAAGAGCTGGCAAAAAAAGAAAACGCTTGAACATTAGCCAATGCACCAAGCAATAAGCTCTGCATAAAATGCAAGAGGCATAATAAAAGATAAGACATAATGGCATATAGACCCCATGTACTATCACGTTATGCTTACTTATTGCCTTTTAAAGTTGGATTTTGGAAATAAACTATAGGTCCATAGCAGGTAAACCTCCTGGAAATAAACTTCATTAGAGAATTGCGGTCGATAGACCCCTGTGCTATCACACTATGCCCTTTCCTTACAGTCCACTCCATCTTCGCCACAACCCTAGCCAGACACAGCACATTCAACATATAGAGGAGTGGAGGGCAGCAGCAGCATTCAATTCAGGGGGAATAAATGACACATCGCCATAGTACAAGGGTTAAAACTGCAACTAACCCTAACTTTATCCGCATCGATATTCCTTGACATTGAAGCTTATGCCATGTAGTTAAAATAAAAGGAAAATAGTTTCAATTATATGGTTATTTTACTAATATTCAGGTATCTAATTGATCTAATTGATTGATTTTGCTTTAGAAAGTTGTGCTCTTGTGATGGTAGTGGTAGCAGTCACAATGAGTTAGATGACTATACTGTGTAAGTATGTAAAATACTTGAAAATGCATTAGGAAAGATAAAAACAAAAGGATGGCTTAGTGTAGATGTTCTCATGAATTTTTAGGGAGTTAGTTCGAAGAAGAAGGGGAAGGGTCATCTGTGATACATATCACCGCTAAATATTAAGTCACATGAGAGGTCGCACTTAAAGAAAAGTTATCCCTTTGGTCGCGCCTATAACACTTGGAGTGAATTCCCAAAGTTCAATTCCATCTGCACACCACAATGCTTCCCTCCCTCCTTCCTTTCTAAAAGCATGCCAAGAAAAGGAGAAAAAGAACACCAAGGAAAATGTGTAGAAAAAGAACACCAAAGAAAATGTGGTTGTTCATAAAGAACAGAGATAGATTACCAAGATTTTTGAAGATGTCATGGTGAAAAATAACATATTAGGAGTCATTTCACGAGATTATAAAAATTAATGTTCATGCAATTTTGAATATGCTTGCCATTGCCCGAAACAGGTTTTTCTTGAGGATTGTTTGGCTGAGAGATTTAAAACTATAAGCATGGACTTAAGCTATGGTGATTGGTGTATCAAGGTCATCACCAGAATCTTATAAAAGAAAACCAAATATATAGGACATAAATGGAAATGATTTCATTTGGTTTGACAAACCAGCAAGTGGTGTTTACAATTGACTTTAGTTACGTTGGGAAGGAGGATAAAGTTGAAGCCAGGGTTATCATTTGCAGTGGTAATTTAAAAAAATGAGCACAAAGTTGAAGACAGGCCATAACTAGGTTCAAAGTGAGAAAGGCTTGCCCTGTTTTCTTATGGGTATACTTGTTAGCTATTGTTACTTTGAGAAGGAATCCTTTGCCTGTAGTTTGTTTGAGCTGTTATTTTAGTTCACACGTCCTAATTTTTACAAAATTTTGCTATATTATACTTTTACAAATTCACCATGTCAAATGACTGAGTGTTGTCCTATGCCCAAAGTATTTCATGTTTACCTTACTACTATCATAATTTGTTGTTGTCCCTACTCCCAAAATTGTGTCCTACTATTTTAACAAATTTGCCGAGCGTTAAACCCAAAATACAATTATTTAACTCCATAAGGCCTCTAATTAGGCTTAGAGGATGAACAGATTTGTGCAACTATATGATACCATTTATAGAGGATGCATAACCTTATGCCTATGTTTTAAGTATACCATTATTTAACTCCATAAGGTCTATAGTTATAGAGGATGCACAGCTTTGTGCAATTATATTATATCCAGTCTAGAGGATGCACAACCTTTATGGTTATATTATAAGATACCATTCTCTAACTCATATGACCTCTAGTTATGATGCTGTCAGTTCACGTCGAATGAACTGACAAAAGAGTTAGAATTTTTGAAGTAAAATAACAGAGGGAAAAAAACATGAAAATAAATCATTCTATGAGAAATAAAGATAAAAAATATACCGGCTTTACTTCACCATTCCATAAGCAGTGGACACCTACACACCCAATAACACCAGGTACTATATATAGAAGCGCAGGCTGCAAGAGCCAAGCAAAAGAGCAGAGAAAATGTTAATAACATGGCCTTGATTGAATATAAGCATAAACTGAGCTTGTTTAGTTCACCTGGGCAGCTTGAAACCAGTTCATCACAACTATAGTCACAACCAAACCAAGTGTATATCCAAAGAATGCACTGTTGAAATAACGATTTTGTTTCCCTCTAGATACATCAAAGCGCAACGCCAATGCAACAAATATACCTGAAGGAGAAATAAACATTTAAAAACATTTTAGAAGGAAAACTTCGCTACTGAAAGTTGGCTACGACGAGTTTTGAACCTAAAGGAAAACACACAAATGCATGACCAGTACATCTAATGATCACAATGTCACCGTAAAAGATAGGTGCGACACAAATAAGAACTAAATTCATTTGTTAGACTAGATGCTTTAAGTTGATGGCTGTGGGCAACCACCTCACAACTTATACCAAGCGAAAAACCTGAACACTCTCCCTTCCATGCTCATGAGGGCCTTTCAGCCATGTAAAAGGCCTTCAACAAAACATGACTCTCTTAGAAGGCCAAAAGAATTATGGAAGATAAACATACTTTAAATTTGCAGCAAGCCAAAATAAACCCGTGATCCCTTGAAAACCCAGTGCCTCATGCCATGTCAGTAACAAGTTGGCCAGAAGCTTTAGCAGATGGTATTTGGACCAAGAAAGTTACTCAACCAAGTGAGTTCTTGGATATAAGCGTGAATTAGAAGTGCTTTAAGCTATGAATTATTGCTGTCTTGGTAGATATGATGTGGAAATGGATATCCTCGACACTGTGTCTAATCACGTCCTTGTATATGGCAGCACTTTGAAAAACTTTATATAACAGACATATATAATGATATTATCTAAGATAGATATACTCGCACACATGTCGAATTGCATATCATAGTAATGATATTATCTAAGATAGATATACTCGCATGCACGTCAAATTGCATATTATAGTAATAATGACATGTGGTTTACCTGGGAAGGCAGCATACCATATTAGCTTTTAATGAATTAAAATGACAAAGTATATTATGGAACCAGGGGATGCACATCATCTGAATCCCTTCCTCTACGAACAATCTACCTGTTTACACTCGGTTTTTGAAATTATGTGTATCAGCAGAGATACGACGAAACCTAAGAGGAAGGGGGAGATTTAGTCATCGGCTAGGACCTAAAAAGAGTCTCAAATAGGATCGTCGCTCGCAAGAGAACATGGGTGAAAGAGAGCTCCTAAAATAAAGCTTATGCACTAGTGGGTAGTTATGTTCCACGGAAAAGGGGCGAAGTGATCATCATGGGATAAACTACTATATATTAGAAGACAACAACTTAGAAGAGGTTCCCGCAACCAAGCCAAAACTTTATATCACTGTATTTACTTTTGATGTCTTTTACTTTCTACTATTGTTTAGTTCCTTATGATTTTGCTGCTTTTAGTTGTACTTCGAACTTGTGAGTTAATTTCTTCACTTTAATGCAATGTACCTTCCTGCAATTTACTTTCCTCGCAATTTGCTGATTCTCAATCAAATCAGGCTCCGAGGGGAACCCCCTATGGGATAGTAGTGTAATTCTTACTTGTCCTTAAGAGTTCCTTTTTTAGCAATTTCATTTAAGTTGATTTTACAGCAGTAGGGGTATATTTACAGCAAGATACTGGTAGTATTGGTCTTTAGAGCTAGTTTAATAGTGAAGTCATTACGCTCTGACGAACCATTACATCTGATCGTCGTCCTATCTTAGTGGGTACGTTCTCCAATAGAAAACACAACTCTAAGCCATACCGTTGACTTTCCAATCAGAAGGGACTTACTCTCGTTAGAGAGTTGATGCAGGACAATCATAGACTGTCCATCAAAAGATTTTAAGAGAGATTAGAATAATTTTAATTTTAGTAATATTTGATTTGATTCCATGTAATATTTTATATTAGTTCAGGTTTTTTTAGGATTTGATTTTGAGATCTCTTTCTAGTTTAGTTAAGATTTTATTTGATTGCATCTTTTAGCGTTGTTAGGTTTTAATTTGATTAGTATTTAAATTTGCTTCCTTAACTGTTTAGATACTTTCTTTTTCTATAAATAAGACATGTAATCCTCCATGAGGAATAGATATTGATGAATCAAAAAATTGAGTTTGAGGATTCTCTTTTGCGCATGTGAGGTCTCCACTTTCAATCCTAGCCATCCAATCTCAACCTTAGATCAACAAAAAAAGAAGTTCCTATGCATAGATGAACAGTAACCAGCATTCTCTTTATTTGTGTGAACAGTGATTTTGCTATTATCTATCTGCCGCCGCCTCGAGATCCGACCCCATCCGCCTCCGATGATGCCGCAATCCTTCGAATCCCACTACAAACCTTGACGTCGACCTTCGCTCGAGTATTACCGTCGCTGAATCTCCTCTGATAGACCCTCAATGAGTTATGATCCCTCGTCGTTAAGGCCATACAACACGGCTCTGAAAAGTTATCGACGACTAAAAAATCTATCAGATCCTCCTTTTAGATCTAGATCAGATTCAATTACCCACCAGAGTTCACAATATCCAAAACCTCATACTTTTCAATTGGATTCGGATTGGCACCGAAGGCAACACATTCAAGAGCCTTCTACTTTCAGAACGGAGCCCCTATCCCTATCCGCATCAAATGTATTCTCTACGGTCCAAACCGCTAAACCTTAAGTGTCATGCGGCCGATTTTAGAGCAAACGCTACCAAATACAGATTTCTTCTCGTTCACAACTAGAAAGGATAACTTACAAATTCCTCCATGGTTCTAATATCACTAAGATTATATTCACCGCTTTAACAGAGGAGATAATAGTGGTGTAAAATCCTCACCTATCTTTGATAAGTCAGGCCTTTCTGCAGTAGTGGCTTGGTTTCCAGAGATAAGTTGACTAAAAGTGAAAGAAAACAGAACATTATGACTAGTTTTGATGCGCAGATAAAAGAAGCTGAACAGCAAGTCATGTAATTGAAAGCCAAAGATGCAAGAGGAAGAGTGTTTTGGGATGAATCGGGTGAGCGATGAACTAGGAGGCAGTGTTGAAAATAACGTGTTTCGTAACGCAAAATAACGCTTAACGTAACGGTAGCTTAACGTTACGTAACGTTTGAAAATAACGCAAAGACAAAATAACGCACGTTATTTTAGCTATAACGTAAGTTACGTAACGTAACGTCATAACGTTTTATCTTGTCCAAACATAAGCATGCTTTTGGTTTTGGGTTTATGGATCATTGGATCCTTTCATTACAACTTGATTCATAATTTCATACTCATGGATTCCAACCCAACCCAATAATTTCATACTTCATAGTTTATGGATCATTGGATCCTTTTTGGTTTCGAACTTGAAGTATTTTATGCTTTTGGATTGATTGTTAAGGCAAACATGATTGATTTTGTTGTGAAATTGTGATGATATATTGATTTGTGAAATTGAAAATTGCGACGATTATTCATATTTTTTTATTTTGAATATTATATATCTATAAACTATTTAAATAATAATAAATTATTTAACCTACGTTACGCTATGCGTTATCGCTATTGTAACCTAACTGGAGGTAAGCGTTACGCTATGCGTTATCGCTATTTTCAACATTGCTAGGAGGTTTAGGTAAGAAACCTTGATGAACTAGAAGGTTTAGATAAGAAATCTTGACTGCTTTAGCCACCATAGGAACCATAGGGACTAATAAATAACAATGAGAAGGAAACATGATACGATGATTTACAGATTTTATTTGGGTAAGAGGAGATGGGGAATTGGCCTACCAACTGAATATCCTACTACAGCAGATAAGGGCAAAAAGGATAGCATAGGATTTTTGGAGCCATCACATGCTTATGAAAAGCTGCCATATTAATTCTGATGTTTCTGTTATTTTCCTTTCCCTCTATCAAATTCTAATTTAACACCTCAATCTCATTTAAACCTCAGCAGAGTTCCGGAGAGCAAGTTTCGTAAAATTCATATGGATTCTTACTGATGAGAAAACTTGCTTTTATTGGGGGGAAAATCTAGACTTCTTTTGCAAGAGCTTATCCTCCTTCCAAAATTTTTGAAAAGAGTTTATCCACCTTCCTCAATTTAAGGAAAATAGCTTATGTAATGTATCGTCCTTGTTACTCAGTAAATAAAATCATAACATCTGTGTACCTACAAGTTATGATCCTATTCTATAAGGAATGCAAAGTGAGCATATAGATTAAAAACTAAATTCCATTTTCTGCATAAAAACTTATACCAGGTATTACAATATCGCCAAGACCAAGCATAGAAAATGGACGAGCAGCATCTGAAGTTGGGAACAAAAGCTGGAGAATAACAAATATATCAGTAGGATATTAAACAAAGTAAAGCACATTATCAGACTCATAAATTTAATATTAGATCATGGGAAAACCAACCTTTATAGGAGCATCAAAGGATTTGGCAACACTGACCATCACCGGAGTAAAGAACACCCAGAAGATGTCATAAAAAAAGAGTCCAACCTGCAACGGAAAGAGTAGAATAGCATGAAACTTGGATAAACATGGGAAACATCAGCAGGCAAATAACTTTTCTTGATAACAGCTAAGATTAACAACAATATCCTTGAGCCAAAAAAAAAATTAAGATAGAGCAATCAGCAACCCACAATGTGTTTGCAACAGAACTCATACAAACAACTTAAAAGGAATATAAATAAGAGACAAGATCAATATGGTCATTGCCAAATTTCTAGATGCAAAACATCATTGGCATTATTCCTATCACGAATGCATAAGCAAAGATGGTATACTACCATGTAAATGCCTAATGCTCCTGTTGCTATACCAGATAAATAAAGTAAAAGAAAACACAGCCAACATCCATCACCTGATCAAAGATCTCCCTGAAGTTGATAAAATAAAATAATTTGTTTGATCACAATAACCCTTATACCATGTGGCTATGGATTTATTAATGTATGAAGTATAATCTCACCAGGAGAATGGCACCAGTTTTAAATGAACCCAATGATAACATTTCAATACCCTGCAAAAAGAAAAAGACACTATGTTAAGCAGCCTCCAAATAGATAAAACTACCAATAATAAAATGGAGAAATTTCAGTGTCTCAGATCCTTTCAAATCGTTATAAATTCGCATCATTTAGAACATACTTTTCGTGAGATGATACAT